CCCCCATAATCCAAAGCCCCTAAACCCCAAGAGCCGAGGAGCTGTGAGTCGCTCAGGATCTTCCTGGGCTTTGAAGTCACCAGGGGGAAAGAAACGGTTTAGACTTTAAGGGTTTAGGGTTTAGGGTTTAGACTTTAAGGGTTTAGGGTTTAGGGTTTAGGGGACTTTTATTTCATAATGGTTCCTTTAAGGAACAGGTCCCCAAAAAAGTATTAAAGTATGGTACTCCAAAGCCCAGCTTCTCCAGAAGGGAAGGTCCCGAGAGGAACCTTGCAGCAGGGAGGCTGTCGAGGGGTTTAGGGTTTAGGGGCTTTGGGGTTTAGGGTTTAGGGTTTTGGGTGTTTAGGGCTTTAGGGTTTAGGGCTTTAGGGGCTTTGGGGTTTAGTGTGTAGGGTTGAGGGTTTAGGGTTTTAGGTTCAGGTTTTAGTGGGTTTAGGGTTTCGGGTATTAGGGTTGAGGGTTTAAGGTTTTGGGTTTAGGGTTTGCAGGTCTAAGATTAGACGTATGGGCCCCTAATATGGACCCTTGGGCCTTTCTAGGGACTCTTAAGGGTACATATAGGGTACATAGTAGGTATATAAGGATCCCAGGGTGAAGGGCCCATACTAGGGGTTTCTCGCAACCAAACGCCACCGGAAGCCCGAATCACCGAAACCGCAGAAGACACACCTGAGCTCATGATTTCCCCTAGCGCTCCAGTGACCTAAATAATTTGTTACTGGGTTATCCGTTTTAGGGTTAGCAACCTGCTATTTAAGTAACTGGAGCAGAAGGGTTTCCTACCCACATCTCGCTGCGATCAAAGCTGCTCGAAAACTTGCCACACGTGCCTCAGCGCGTCGACGGAGTTTGGTGTTTTTTTTCAAGGGGTTCTAGGGGGTTTAGCACTATAACTGGTCTTGAGTTTAGGGCATCAGGTTTAGGATACGGTATACAGGCGTGCAGCTTAGCTCTTTTGGCTAAGTGCTTCCAATACCTCTGGGGTCGTCATGGCCTTATGGTGTACGGCTTGACTTTCTGTACAATTAGGGCTTTTACGGGCTTAGGGTAAACACCATTGCAAGGGCTCCGAACTTTTTCAAACCCACTCAACCCTAATGCCTAACCTCTAAACCCTTTAGGCGTAAGTTGACCTGAGAGTCGCCTCCATGCTTCTAGTGTTCCCTGTTCTCAGTAACGGAAAAGACCGGATGCCCTGGCCTTGACCTTCGCAAACCCTACACGTTTAGTGTTCCTTCTTATGTTTGCTATCTATACTTCCTTACAGAGGAAGGAAGACTCGGCGCGTTGACGGTAGCTCCTATCAGTGCAGTCTTGGTTGAAGGTAACCTGTGCTGAATGACTCTGACGAATAGCTGGTACACCTTGCCTTGTAAGCCCCGAATTCGCAGCTCCCTTGTATTAGTATATGTTTATAGCATTCTGTGCTGCATTATTATATGTTATAAAGTACAGTAGATCATGAAATATTACCGTATTACAGTATATCATCATGGTATATTGAGGGGAGCGGGCTTCAAGATCAGGGGCTGACATGATGTTCTGGGAAGCCGTCGGCCTGTACACGACAAACGACACTCTTATTTGAGGAAACTACAGGTGGGGAGTTTACGGTATATAAGGCTTCTATAAGGTATATAGACCTGTTATAAGACTCCTATAACGGTAACTACCCACCTGAAAATGTCCTAGATTTTTATTCGGCCAGGAGAACTCCACTTCTGTTCTGCTGCTCCCGAGCCCCACCGGCCCCTGTCAACTCTTACCGCGACCCTGATAACCCAATACCCCTTAATTAAGGAATATACCTTAAATTATAGGGGCACTAATATTATGGTTTAAGGTATATCTCTGAATTAAGGGGTATTGGGTTCGTTGGGAACATGAACCACAATAACAATGGCGGCACATGATAATCGTACTAACAAAGGTAATGATCATGATCGCATTGATATTCATAACCCTAAACCCTAAACCCTAAACCCTAAACCCTAAACCCTAAACTCCTAATCCCTAAACCCTAAACCCTAAACCCTAAACTCCTAATCCCTAAACCCTAAACCCTAAATTGCCAGATGGCTGTTTGTCTTCGAAGGCATCATGCAGTCGACCTCAGATGAGGGTTCAGTTAAAGGAAACTGCAGGTGGGGAGTTTAGGGTACATAGGGCTTCTACAAGTATAGACCTTCTATACCCAGACCCCCGGGAGGATCTAAAAAGTAGATCCCCTAAATCTGGGACCCTAACTACTAAAGGGTACTCTATAGGAACCTCCTTAAGGGATCTACTTTCTAGATCCTCCTGGGGGTCTGGGTAAGGTAACTACCCACCTGAAAATGTCCTAGGTTTAGGGGTGGATCTGGCCAGGGGTCTGGTCGGGCATCGCTTGGGGGCCTGACAAAGCAGGGCTACATGAACGGACGACAGCTTTGGTGAACTTTATGGGGCTTAGGGAGTAGGTGTCGTTTAGGGTTTCGGGGTTAAGGGTGTAGGTTTTGGGACCCATCCATCAAGAGGGAACCCCACCACAAAACTTCTTGCGAATTCTGTAGGCCCCTACGTTGATACCATTCGGGCTGGCGGGCTCGACCGATGAGACATGTCGACCGATTCCGCGTTTTGGGGTTGCGCGCGACGGGTTTAGAGGGTTTGCGGCTCTCCACCGCTCTGTGAAAGCGAGGCTCGTCTGTAAAACTTACCTAAACTCTTAGGCTTTGGGGTTCAGGGTTTAGGCAAACCCTAAACCCCAAAACCCCAAAACCCTAAAGAGGAAAGTCACTGCCCTGCATTGGCAAGCAACCGAGAAGAGCCTAAAACTGAGATCTCGGACCGAATCGACAACTCACACACTCATGTGGGGGTTTCCGAAAATAGGGGACCCTAATATAGCACCCTAAATAGTAGGATCCTTATTATGAGGACCCCAGAATAAGGCACCTTAATTTCCGGAAACTCCCATGTGGGTAATTTTCTAAATTAGGGTCCCTTTTGGGGGTCCTTTTTATAGGGGTGCCGTATTCTATTGGGGACCTAGAAAGGGACCCCAATTTAGAGAACTACCCATGTATCCAAACTGATTGCGGCCGGAGTTGCAAATGTGTGGATGGTCCACATTTCCTTTCTTGCACGGAACTTGCAGAGCATCCTATCTTACGCGAAGCATCCAAGCACGGTATATGATCGCTACAGAAACGACCGCCAGTCGACAAACGATGCGAAAACTCCTCTAACCTCTAGTCCGGCTGCCTGTTGCATCTACCAGGTACACACGAGGCACCCGGCTGTGATCGCCGTGGAGGCGTCTTCCGCCAAAACTGGGTCATGTGTCACATAGGTAGAATATAAGGTTTTGCGCCCATAATACTATGAATCATAATAAGGAACCTCCAAAATATTATCGGTAATTATTGTAAATATAGTGTAGTATACCCCCGCCCAAACCCTATTAAAATTATTTAGGTCCCTAGATTAACGATCAACCCTAAACCCTAAACCCTATAAACCCTTGAACCCCTAAAACCTAAAACCCTAAACCCTTGAACCCCACACCCAAAAGATCCTGTTGAGTCTTGCTGAATGGCGACTCCCCAGACCACCGGGAGGATCCAAAAAATGTCCCCTACAGTAGAAGCCCAAAAGTTGGAAACCGAATAGCCTCAGTCCTTAAGGGTAATGCAATGTAAAAGGAATCCCAGCACTATTTGTCCTTTGTCCGGTTTCCAACTTTTTGGGGTTCACTATAAGGGGTTCCTATACTTGGCGTACTTCTGAACCCCTCCTAAAAGTTAAACTTTTAGCCTAGATATTATAGTTCATATAGAAACCCAAAAAGTTAAAGTCTAAAGAGCCAACCAAAAGAACGCTAAGTATAAAGTGCCCCTTAGTAGTTGGGGTCCCAGATACCCTAAACCCTAAACCCTAAACCCCGGGGGTAGGGGTCGGCTAGTGGAAGATCTGGTCCGCCCCGCAATTCACGGACCCCGAATCTGACTTCTCATGTGGGAGTTTCCGAGAATAAGGGGTACCTTATTTTGGGGTCCTTATAATAAGGATCCTACTATTTAGGGTGCTAGATTAGGGTCCCCTATTTTCGGAAACCCCCATACATATACATCTACTCTCGTCTACCATAGTATACCAGAATATACTTTAATACACGATGATATACCATAATACACTTTAATATACTATAATATACCATAGTATACCATACTATACTATAATATACCATAATGTACTTCAATACACGATAATATACCATAATCTACCATAATATACTAGAATATACTATAGTATACTTTAATATGCTTTAATGCATATAAGTGGCTTTGGTCTCCGATGTGCTGCTCGAGGAGCCGGAAGAAAGGAACCTCGGGAAAGCGGGTGGGTCTCGAAGAGGGAGAGGGCTGAAGTGCACTCGGCTTCCCAGAGATCCCAATACCCCTTAAAGAAGGAATATACGTTAAATCCTAATATTAAGGCCCCTATAATTTACGGTCTATTCGTTAATTAAGGGGTATTGGGTCCTCTGGGTTCAGGGCCTACGGTGTCATCTGGCTCTGCAATTTCCCACAGGGTTCTCCTGCTCATGGTCAGCATGGAAAAGAAGTGTGAGACACGACATTGCGGTCTCTATGCGACAAGCTATTCATATAACAGGCCTGCCTCTGTTGTGATGCACAAAACTGGGATGAACTGGGAAATAAGATCATTCATGGGCTTCCCATGCTTTCCACACCTTCCCAGTGCCTGCATCAGCAAGTCAGCAAGCCCCCGTCGAATTAGCCGGCCAACTTCTCCAGTTTGTTGCAAACTATCCATGGCCCTCCAAGACGCCAGGAGGCCGGACTTCGGGTCAAAAATGAAGGATTCTAGCTCCTCGTTGAACTGCTGGATGCTCATGCTATTTTTGATCTTGTTGAGTATGAGTTCTTTGTCTGCTTCGGAGGATGCACGCATGCTCTGCACATCTAAATTCTCCAAAGTGCGAGCACGTTGCATCATGGTCGCTTTGATGCAAGTTGCAGCGACTGCCTCATTTGCAGGCGCTTGGCTTCTGCAATTTCGGCGACACACCAGGCACGATTAAACAAGTCAAAAGATAGCTCCACCGCAGTGACTTGCCTGCAGCCTCCTGTTGATGCCAGGTGATACACCATGTGAACGAACTTGTTGATGTCTGAGTCAGAGATCAACAAGTTCGATGACATGGTCTCTGACGCAACGCTTTGGCCATCTGCATCAGAGATATTCAAGCTATGGCAAGTGCACACCGGATGCAACACGTTCGTAAGCGGATCGCGGTCGTAAGGGTTGCTGCGGCATATGCACATGTGCCGGTTGACCGCAAACGCACAAATCCAGTATGTGTCATCCAAACGGCAACTCTCCTTCAGCATCTCATACAGAAGGGCGACGTCTTCTTCCAGCAGCTTTGTGGCCACTTGGAAGCTGCATTCTTGCAGAGCATCGGAAACGACGGCTGCCAGCAAATCTTTGAAGCAATTTCCCCAGTTGTGTGTCACCATGACGTGGGCTCTTCGAGGACCGTCCCTGTTGTGACATGATACTGCATAGGAACATTCCTCTGCGCTGGTGATTGGAATGATCACCCGGCGGACCACATCTCTGGTCTTGTGGTCCTTGGGCGCATATTGAAAATCTAGATTGGCTTGGAGGTCTTCCTGGTAAAACGCCAACAGGCTGCGCAAGGTCATGCCACGCAAGGAGAGCTCCTGAACCTTAGCTTTCCAGCTGGGACTCCAAGCAGCGCTGCTCTGTTTTGGGCTGCGCGGGGGGTGTCCGGCAGGAAATCTGAGGTCTGGTCCGGCTCTCTTGGCCCGTTGCAGGCAACCGGTGACTGCCTGACAAGAGCAGCACACAAGCTGCATTTCCTGCGATATCCGCAGCCTGAACCAAGACGATCACTAGAAGAGGGTCCTGTTCTTGCCACGATTTAATCCACATCCCCATCGCACCCGAGTAGGCAACTGGAAATACCAAAATCGTAAGCACCAGGCTGAGGGAGACACCCACAAACCCTAAACCCTAAACCCTAATCCCTAAACCCTAAACCCGTCGCTTGTAGCAAGGCCATCCTCCGGGCTCTCAGAGAAGAACTCGCGGCTGGAGCAATGGATGCATGATCCACAAGATGTAAAACCTTGGGGTTTAGGGCTCAGAGCTTAGGGGCTTAGGGGGGTTACGGGTTACGGGCTTTAGGGGTATATAAGCTTGGCTAACTTCTGACCCCTCCTAAACAGTTAAACTTTTAGCCTGCTTATTATAGTTCATATAGAAACCCAAAGTTCAAGAAGCTAGAGTCCTAAGAACCAACCAGAAAAACGCCAAGAAACCCTGTGCAACTGAAGGAAGGCCTGCGTGAGGGAGCAGATTGCCAGCACGCAAGCTGCCAAGTTGACGCAAAAACACAACGGAGCCCGAAGCAAAGAAACAAAGAACGCCTCCGGCAGCACAGAGTATGCCAAAGTCAACATAAGCGCCATGACACCTAAAACAAGTGTAACCGCCGTGGAATTGCAAACTTGTACGCGGACGAGCGTGCGAATGCACCTGCTGCGGTAGTTCTGACATGAGGCCTGCTCCAAGATATCGAGTCGGGAACTGATGAACATCTGCATCCAAATCACACAGAAGAAATAGAGAGCCAGCCTGCAACATCCAAAGGCTGGAAACCATTGAAGGGTGCTGCGGCTTGCAAACCCATACCTGCATTCAAAACTTGGCACGCTCATTGAGGCAAACATGGATTGAAACCAGTTGATGACGGCATAGCCACAGGCCGATTTGGCATGGACTGATGCACCAGTTCGTTTTGAAAGAAAGGCTGCCGTGCAACCGGCTCCCAGACTCGCAAACATCAGCAAGAGAAAGAAGGCTGTTGCCTCCGAGCATGTCATATCAGCAACTGGAATATCAGCGACAGTAGGGCTAGGCCACAGCAAGGCTGTAGCGGTGACATTCACGACGAATACCAGAAACTATGATCCAGGTCGCCAGTGGTGCCAAAGCTTCAGGAAACAAGCAAATCGACTTGATGTGGTTGAAGTTGTGGAGGACTCATCAGAACACTCTGAGACGAACTTGGCCATTGCGAGGAACACCCCCCAAAACCACAAAACCTCAAGATCACAGCCCAAATGGCTGCTGTGCCAAATCCTAACTTGCAAGAGTTGCTTTGACACCCTAAAACCCTAAACCCTAAACCCTACTTGGAGGTTCATGGGTAGTTACAAGTGGAGTTATAAGCAAGCTAACTATAATTATAACCCATATTGGGGACTTATAACCCTACTACTACCCATGAACCTCCAAGTAAACCCCTAAACCGGCAGCTCAACGCAAGCAATTGCACTGCTGTGCTTCTCTCCAAACATGCAGGGCTTTGCCGTGTCAACCAGCAGGTCGGGGCGAAAGCAGCGCCGCTTCCTAAACCCCTGAACCCCGAAGTCCCTAAACCCCTAAACCCTGAACCCTAAATCCTCAACCCTAAATCCTAAATCCTCAACCCTAAGTCCTAAACCCTAAATCCTAAACCCTGAACCCTAAACCCTAAATCCTAAACCCCTAAACCCTAAACCAATGAACCCCTGAAGAACCCCGAAGTTGAGGGAGAGGCTTGCTTCGTCCGGACGGCTTTGATGACGCGGCCGGAGCTGTTCGCCTGGACCGCATCGGAAACGTCGGATGGGTTTAGGACCTGAACCCTAAACCCTAAACCCTAAACCCTAAACTCTAAACCCAAAACCCAAAACCCAAAACCCTAAACTCTAAACCGTAGCGCCTTTTAGGGCTCCTTGGGGTTTTCGAGCCTTTTACGCCTCCTTGGGTCCTTCGGGCGTTTTAGGGTTTAGGGTTTAGGGTTTAGGGTTTAGGGTTTAGGGGTAATATAGAAGCCTTAATAATTGCCAATACTATTTTTGGGGGGTTCCTTAGTATAAGTATTTGATATAATATGACCCAAAACCCTA